CATCTTGAAAGTTTAATCTGTCAATTTCACTTCAAAATAAAGTATTCATGCATTAATTCATTATCCCAAATTTCAATTTTTTGAGTTGACCTGTTCAAAAAATAAAAGGGGGGGACATTAAAGAAATGTACTGTATACCCTAGCAATAATAGCTTCATTGAACAAAACAAATTTTAAATGAATATTCATTGCTTAGCAAACAGAATGGTTATTATCTCTTCTTTGAATATATTCAATAGTGTTAAATAAATGTCTACTTTCTGACACAGTTGATTAAATGTATAGCACATAGCAAATAAGGAACACTTATAACACCTTGTATATTATGGTATCATGCTTTTATACTGGGGAAAATATTGTACAAAAAAATTTCACATGTATAAATATCTTAAAACTCAGCTATAAAAGTATGGTTGTGCAAGTTTCCTCAATAATTTTTAATCTGTATTTTTTCTTTTGTCCACCTCACCTACCAGAATTCCACCCAATTGGTCACAATGTTTAATGTGGGAATAAAAATGATGTTTTCTAAAATATGACAGAACTGACCGATACTTAATGACAATCCATTATAATGTATTCAAAAAATACTTCAATGTGAGATTTCCACTTGACAGTTTACAAAACCGCGACACGTGTTTGGGCGTCACAATACTCTGTAGTATTTTGAATACATGTAAATTTGTTTGACATGAAAACTGACATCTCACTCCTATGTAACAGAGCTTATTACAATGTTCAAGTTAAACCCACAGAAATTTATTCAATTATCTGTCATTTCTGATACACAATTTAAATTAATATTTTTGTGACTGCATTGTGGTTTGTTCTCTTGCAAAGTTATTTCCGGAAAGTTGGAATTTGGAACAGGTAAGTAAAATACACTTCATTTATACTAATTTTCATTCAGAATATGAGCAAATTAAAGTATAAAATCTTTGACACTTACTCCTCTTACTAAAATATTTTGTGAATCTAGCTGAATCCCTATATACAATATTCAAATTATTTTGCTCCGGTTCTAATGTAATAAGAGCGTTTTGTATTTCATCCTCAACTGTAACATATTGTGTTCTTGCTCCAATGACGTCTGAACTCTTCGTGCAACCGAAATACATTATGAGGTCAAGTTCATTTTTCTGTTGCCAATTATAATCTGAAAGCAGCTGAAAATAATTAAACATTATTTCAAACAATCACACTTTTTGTTCAAAACATATAGACAGAAGAAAATACCTTTTGTCCAATTTCTACTAAGTTTATTATTTAAATTGAAAGGGTTATATTGTTACCAGTTTCGGTTTGTTAGACCATTGTCAAGTAACTAACTAATGGTCTAATAAACCGAAACCGGTCGTAACAAATAAGAAACTCAGTAGAAATCAGACAAAAGTTACTTTCTTTATCTTTATCTTATACTCAATATGAATTTCTACAAAATAAATAGGTCATCCATCGAACAAGTCTCCTGTTCATGATTTACCACTGACTTTGTTTATTGTGAAAATTAGTATTTTAAAAAATGAATTCAACAACTACTATTTTCGCTTGTTGCTGTAGTATTTTAGTACAATGAACCATGTGTTCCCTGAATTGATGATTCAATTATAATATCTAGATGGCGCTCACTTCGTGAAAAAAGTTGTCAAGTTCAAATCAAACAAAATGTTCTATTGTTAGGTTTCTGTTTTCTCCTTTGTGTTTCATGAAATTGACATTTTCTGGATTGTTGGACACGTTTAAAAATCCCAATCCAATCGTTAATTGATTTAACATATAATCATCCGACTTTCCAGTTTACACAAACTCTCATTTGGTTCCCTTTTGNAACCTTAATCTTTTCTAAAAATATACCCCTTTCAATTTAAACAGTTTTATATAATTTGAAAATTTTTTGAAGTCAGGAAAAATATAGTCAATAACTCTTATCAAAATGATGTTTTTGTTTAATTTCCAAGTCATTCCCATCTATTATTTTCTGTACTTTTTTCAGCCAATGGTCTTCGGTGAATTTTGAAAATGCTGGGATATTTAACCAATTTTTATTCTTGTCAGAAGTGTACCATGTGCTTTCTTCAGCAATTTTTTTTCTCCAAGAATCCAAAATCAAATATGTGTGTCAATTCGAGAATTTCACCAACTCTATGTGAAATAGATCTTAGCCAATACAAGATAATACTAGAATCAATCCACAAATACGAAACTTGTCACTTTAAAATCATTTTTATGGTATTCAGTGATCTGCACTAACAAATGCTACCTGGAATATTTATTCACCATTTTCATGATTGAATAGTAAATATTTGCTTCTTTGAATTCTTACACAAGCTGAGCCAATTTAGCTGCCATTTCAGTGGGCTTTCATATCTGAGATACCCCGTTTTATCAGTAGCTTTTCCAATTTCCGTATATCTGGATTCACTTTTTTGCAACACAGGGCAAAGGTGAATTCATCAGTTTCTGGTCTCCAATATGAATCCAGAACTCTTTCTGAAGGCACCTGGCAAAAAAATTCTTTTTTGGTTGTCGGCACAGCGACTTTGGTATCGCCTTCAAAACATTTCTGGAATCACAAATCTAATTGCAAATTTTTAAAACGCTAGTTGAATAACTTCGATTATCTTAAACTGTGGTTGAAAAGAAAGATTGTTTTTATGCATGTAAAATACAAAATGAATCGTGAAACAAAAAAAAATAGTTTATTACCTTCACTTCGTAATGTCTGCAAAATTTCGTTAAAAGATTCATTCTTGAAAAACATTCTTAATGATATCTCAGAGTTCTCTTCTATGTGTTCCTGTATCAATTTTATTGCCTTGAAATTCAAATAGTCTTCATTGATCCAACTCTCCAGGTCTATATCTACTTCCTTTGCTTTAATACTTTCGTTGCTATAAAGGCCACTCTCTGGAACGTTGTAGGATGGACTATTGAAAACTGGTGAAACCTTTGTGTGAAACCAACCATTAATGCTGAGCCTGCAGTCATCCATACATGTAACTTCTGCTACCTGTGACCATTAAAAAAAACGGTTTAACATAGTCATATACAGTGCGTTTGATAAGTATTTCAAATCTCCATCCAAGCTTTTTTTATTTTTGTAAATCCCGAGGGATTAGCAGTTTTATTAAAGTCATATGAGGAACCGATAAACATCATCATCTGGATTAAAAATTAATTCAAAACTCACTCCAGTTCATTCCAAGAAATATTCATGTTTAACATTCGCTACCTGACAATAATGAAGAATGTTTACAAATTTATGCCCTACATTATGATATGTTCCTGGGGTTATTTCAGTGCAAGCATTTCTCTTTTCACCAACGAATTCTGTAAATGAACTGTAGTTGTGTATCGTACACTTCAGATGTCATGTATCCCCTCAAAAACATCTAGTGGCGTCATACCAGGTGATCTAGTGGGCTCTTCTAAGACGCTTCTTCTTATTTATTGTTTTTCTCCTACCTAAATTTAAAAATCTAATAAATCAAACATGAATATGAATTTTCAAAGTTCAAAAACACTCAATACTTGAAAATAATCATGTCAATCAGCCATTAGTTTTTTCTTCAGGTAATCTTCCAAATTTTGACAACTGGAAATCTAAAAATACCTATTTTCATTTCAAGGTCCACCATTCAGAGAGTTCTCTGAATAATGGCTATGTGTTACTTGGTTACACGTGGTCAATGACGATAACGACATCGTTGATTTTAACATTTTCAGATTTCGATATATTTTTACTTATTAAATTATTCATGTTTTCATCTTCTCCAAAACATATCCGACACTACCTTTTCAGGACAAAATATCTCTTAGCTTTCTAGGTAAAGGTGCGGTCCCACTCGAGAATCTTGAAAAGAAATCATTCAGGGGTTTTACTTTCGGGGTCATTTATTTACTATATTATCTACTTCAACTTATTTAAAAAATTGGTACAGAAAATTTTTAAAAAACATCCCAATTCAAAATGATCAAGAAATAGATGAAGATTTATATTATAACATCATCAGTCAGGGAAAAAATACAGCCCCCGGAATAGACAATATATCTAGGAGAATAGTACGAGCCCTAGAATCAGACATACACAAACATATCATCTCCATCTATGAATATTGTTTGAACAATAATTACTATCCTACAGCCTGGAAAGAAGGATTAATAATTGCCATTCCAAAGCCCAATACAGACCATTCACAGACCTGCCACTACAGACCCATTACTCTTCTTCCAGTGTTAGGAAAAAACTTTGAGAAAATCATCAAATATCAACTCAGTGAACATATCAATATACCAATGTATTAATTTAGTTTTAGAGAAAATAGAAATACAACCCACCCTATAGTAAATGTAACATCTAACATACAAACAGCACGCATGACCAACCTACACTCTGCGGCGCTATTTTTGGATATCAATAAAGCTTTTGATAGCGTTTGGTATGAAGGAATGTTATATAAACTTCACAAATTGAACAACCCTATCCATCTTCTCTGTATAATAAAACAATATTCTAAGAACAGAACCCTCATCATCAGAGTCAGAAATTCATTCTCCAAAACATTTGCTCCCCAACAAGGAATTCCACAAGGCTCTCCGTTATCTCCAATTCTCTATAATATATACTGCCATGATATATACAATCATAACTTGGAAGACAAGAATGAATTTAATAAAAACCTTTACATCTTACAGTATGCAGTTTCTTGTCATCGATTATTTTATGAAACAAGACAGCAAGATGTAGAATGCGTTGCGACTCTATATTTAGCATCCGGTATCTTTCAAATGTTGTGATATATGGTCACGTCTTTTTGTTCCAGTTATCAGCCTCACACATGACTTCTGTAGCTTTTGTAATCTATTCTTTAGTGACAACAGTAAAGATTCGCACAAGGTCATAGTGTTCTATTCGGATATATTATTTTGAGACTGCTGTACCCTCGTTTTAGAATTTGCGATACGTATCGTGTGAATCTTAAAAAGCTGTCGAGGTATGGTCCTAAGTTTTTAGAAATATCCTTAAGACGTAACTCAACTCTGTTTGCAGTTATAGAAACCTTGCCCAGATTGCGTTTACATGACAATGTACTTCCAAAAAGCATAACTACTGACTTAGAGTGATTGACATTTAAGCAATATTTGGTTGATAATTTCATCAGAGAACATACGTCATCATTTAGTTTTTTCTGTGTTATGTCAAAAGAAACTTTATCGCATTCTATGTAAATTTGAGTATCATCGGCGTAGCAGATGACAGAAGAATATTGAAGACAATCTGGAAATTGTGATGTATATAATACAAATAATAGTGGGCCCCATATGGACCCTTGAGGAACACTGTTGTAGATATTGACGAGATTCAAAGTAGTTTTTGAAGGTGACACATTGGGTTCTGAAAGTACTTTTTAATCAACTCAGTTGCACTCAGTGCGAATCGAAGGTAATTGAGAAGAGATATAAGAAGTACATGGTTGATGTGGTCAAACGCCTTTGAGTAATCATGCAGAATTAGAAGGCAAAGTTTATTATTATCTGTTGACCTTTGGACGTCATCAGTTGTACAGCATTCTTCAATATTGCACTATTTTTTACATCTCCAATAGTTTCTTGCCGCCTCTACTTGTAAAAAAAAGATGTTCTTTAAATCACTTGCAGCAATATGTGTTCCATTTTTTTCGCCCAAGAAAGTAAGGCCAGGGTTCTTGTCAACAACTTCCAATCCAAATACAATATTATTTCTGCGGGATGTGCAATCAAGTAAACAATTTTCTTTTAAGTTCAGAGTTTTCCTGTTCTAATAATGCTATTTTATCATTTGCAGCTGTTAGTTCAGCCTTTATTTCGGACAGCGCATTTTGGGTCTGGCCAGATTTCAAATTGAGAGTAATGAGTAATGCATGAAAATCTCCCAACGCTACTTCATTCGACATTCTGAAGTACCACACTATTTTGCAGTAAAGTACCTGTGCTAATAACAAATCAGTTTTGAGATAATGATATTTATCGTTTGTTTGCAGATCCTTAAAACCAATATTAAACTGCTTACTGCTCAGAATCGGCAAATCCGATTTCCAGGAAAAAAAATGTTGGATAGATAATTGGAATACATATTGAATGAGGTATTACAAGAACCCCATTTCCATTTGAAAAAAAATTGGTAGCGCCCCCTCCACGATGAGTGATGCAATAACTATTGTCTTTCTCATCAAGAAGTTCTAAAAATTATTCCCCTTCACATACATTTTTTCTGACCTTGATATCTTGTCCCATTCAAAAGTTAAAAGGGAGGCGACTATTTATGCCGCACTGTATAAGAATAAGCCAAAAGGTCAAAGAAAAACTAAATTGCTATCATCTTTGAATATTACTCATCATTACGTTATGTAAGCTTATAGCTATTTTTTTTTCTCATCCAAACTTAGGCACTCATGTTTCTGGCCATTCTCAGATTTCCAAGATTTCCATTACAAAAACTGAACAATGTTTTTTGACAACCAACAAATATTTTCTATCCTATTATATTTACTGAATCTTAGAATTCTGACAAACATTAGTTTGGTCTCTGGAACGAGTCAAAAGTTCAGTTTGTCTGTCTCAGCTACAGTGACTCTCACTCTCTTCTATGCATCTTGAAGGCCAAACTAGAGTGAAATACATTTTAGATTATTTTTGAAGATCTATATTACAATATCACTGTCTAACCTCCACTAGTAATATTTCAGCTATTAGTTAATCCTCCAAAGAATAACCAGCTCTTAATGAGTTATCGAATGTTTAAAAAAAATATTTCAATACTTACGAGTTTAAAATATTTGCTTAAGGGGTTCAATTATTTCAAGATGATTAAGTTCAGTTATTAAAGTAAACTTTAAATATCTTACTTGATGGTAAGAATCGCTTGTTACAGGAAATATGACCAGTTGGTTGTTTGATGGTATAATATTTCTAACAACATCCAGTGGTTGACCTTTATCATCTTTGTTTAATAGCTGAAGTGATCCTCCTTTAGATTCGTTCCACCCTTCCTTGCCAGTTAGGTACAAAATAAATGCAACCATTCTGTCTTCTCGTTGATCATCATGAACCAGTAGGTAATCAGTGTTACTGTACAAACTACAAGTAGCAGATACATGTGTTAAATTCAATCCTGTTATGTTCATTACCTGAAATTGTCATTACTAGAGAATATTTAAATTTATGAAAACAACATACCCACTGCATTAAGTCTCCTTTTAAAAAATCGAACATATTTCTGATATGTTCTGAAGTCAAGTATTTTAGATCTTTTGACTGAAAAAATTCATACAAGTCCATATTTCTGGTGTTCCAGTCTAATTCATAAAATTCATTTCTAATGTCATCTAAAAGATGACTATTTTCAATCAAATTGTTTATTACACAAACTTTGAAAGGTTCCACTATTAATTCAAAATGGTTATTCTGTAGGTTTTTGTTACAGCTCCAACATTTTTTTAATTCATCCAATAATGTTTTGGTTATTGGAATATTTGAAAAAGGATGAATTCATGAAAGATATCAATACTAGTATTTCTAGTATGAAGGGTGCTTTAATGAAATCGTTTGCAGAAGTCATCAAGGAGTTGTGGTCAGAAGATTCATTTGATAAAGTAGTAAATACAGCCTCCTTATATTCATTTCTGGAGTAACTTTTTGTTTTTTTACAGGTCGACCATCTGGATCTCTATGACATGTTGGCATTAAATGATCTATAACCAAATAATAATCACTTTAAAAAACAAACCAGCAGAAATAAAGTAAATTTTGTTATGCCTTGATTAAATGTTTCATGAAAGCTTGTAAGCCAAAACAGTTCAAGCAGTTTACATTACAGTGTTACTATCTCAATTTGGGTTTGAAGGGCATCGTAGTTTGGAACTGCATCCTAACGTTCTGCCAGCACTAGTGACTAGCTTCTTTAGAGGTTTATTTATCTTAATGATTCACCGATGACTTAGCCATTTAACAATTTCAAATATGCACATTGAATGAAAAAAAAATGCTTCAATCCACTTAAGTTGACATCAACGGGTAATTAAAAAGAAAAAAATTCTTACATCCACTTGTGACTGACTCATGAGTGGAAACAACTCTACAGTCATCATCCCAATTGCAACATTCAATTTCTGGCTCACTAGCTGAGGACTCCTCATAATAACTAATTTCTTCCTCCTTTGACGAATCACTTCCCGAATTATCAGACTCATCTTCGCTTTCACTGGGAATTCCTAGAATTTAAATATTACATACATTTTGTCACACAGAACCTTCTCTCAAGTACTATTGGTGCTTTTATTCATAGCGCGTTTTCCTTTGAAATTCATTGTTACTCAAGTTTGAAATACTATTCGAAATTAGAGATTAAATGTCTCCCAAAATACTTCTTAAAGTATAAGTAACTATCTGTGCTTAAGCATTCATAAAGTTTGTGACACGGCATTGTAGGTTATGTTATATATTTTTTTATTTCATTTCTATGGTTATGTCCTTTTCTCTGATACTAGCAAGCTCTTCTTCTTGACATTTATTTCATATGTATATGTATACGCTTCAACTTTAATACTTGGATTGTACGTTACTAACAGCAGTGCGGATATCCTTAATTCACTCGTCGTTTACAATGTGAGCATAGGTGAGACATTGATATTCTTGAAACATTCGCATATATAAGAGGAAAAAACAGAAGAATGGACAATTGAAAATACCAGAACAATAAAAAAATGTCACATTTATAGCAAAACATGAAAATAGAAACAATATTGAAAATAATAATGTCGAGCAAAGAAGAAGAATAGAAGAATAACACCAAACGTCGAGAATCATCTTGGTTTGAAATATCATTTTACTGTTTTTTCTGCCTATTTGGCAATTTTTTTTAATTTTTTTTATTTCTCATCATTTCCTAAAATTTTTCAAGCAAATTATTTCATTTTCAGCTACAACAACTTTTTTTAAACTACTGTTCTTATAGTTTCACATTTCATTATCACTCATTGTCTAATTTTTTTTGGCAATTTTCTTCTATACTTCCACCGATTATTTTATTTTTAGTATGGTTAATACTTCACCTTCTCTATTTGTACCGTTTGCTTCTATTAGATTTCGGCAAAGGAACTAAACAAAGTTTGAACATCTACCATTCAATAATGTTGACAATAAATTTCGAATATTTCAAACTCAAGCGTGTTCTTTACAAATTTCTAGAAAGTTCAAAATGTAAGCCGGACGGCATTGGATTAGAGAGAGTGCGAGCTTTGACTTAATGTTAGGAATTATTTCACTCGTATTTTCATGATTCCGTATACTCTGTATAGCATTTGAATAATTTGTATCATTCGAATGATTCCTTTCAGAGTTCTCGAGATATCTTGAATGGCCGCTTATTTTCAATTCGAATAATCCCATCACTAATAAATGTGTCATAGAAAGTTTATGAATAATCAAAATATGTGATATTTTATTGCTCTGACAAATAGGAATTCTTCAAAATATGGTTGCTGGTTACTTAGCAGTAGGTGATTAAGCCATTCAACTTCTTTAGTTTAATAAATGCATACATTTTAAAATAAAGCGCAGAAGATGACGGAATGTCGAAGCAGTTGGAATCTGAAATCAAGCGCATTGAAATTGAAAAATACTGTTTGGAAACGAAGTGAAAATATCAGAATTGGTGAGTGAAATATTGTTGATTGATATTGTGTGAATGAAAAATTGATTTTGGTAATATCTTCATGGTTAATTTTTCGTAATGGAGTTGGCAAGTAGAGAAAAAGTAGCTGTTGCATTCTTATCAGGATTATTATCAAAAATGTATTAGAAATATGGAGGTTCATAGAAGATTTAGAAGAATTAACATGTATATTTCTTTTATTCGGTCTAGTGATCTATGGTAATCGAAAAAAACATTATAATTGCACCTCCATTCTCGTTCAAAATAGTGTTGAATGCCTAGTTATCGAAGGGCTAGTTAATATTAATTTATTTACAATAATATTTTAAGAACAAATAATCGCTCTCAATTTCTGTTCTTCACACCTAAACATATGAAATTGTATGACATTAAGTAATGTAGTCAGGCAAGTATCCAACATGCCTTCTGAGGGGGCGAATTATGCATACAGTCTTCTTTCAGAGATAACTAACTTTATATTGAACGTAGGTAGCCATACTAATTTTCATTATGACTTTGAATGATCTCTCTATTTTGAATTCTATCCATATCCTCTATTTTTACTCTATATTAGTTTGTAATATGTGGCAGTGCCCTTTTTCTCAGTCTTACCATCTAGGAATATGCCTGGATCTATGCCAAATGTAATACAAGAGTTGTTATTCCTAAAAATTCAGCTATCATGTTTGATAGTAAACTTATATTTATCCATTGATTGGCAAATAGTTCAATAACTATATGTGTGTTTGAGTAAATATAATTTTTCAAACCATTTTCAGACAATGGGACCTGAAGAAAAGCTGAAGGATCTTTACCCAGGTCTGAAACGACTAGAAATAGATACCCACCTAGATTTTCAAGATGACAATGAAATACATCTGCTCAGGATTCCTAGGAATGTTGATCCCAAACTATTGCTGAAATTTGACTTCGATATTTATGAAAAAAATAAATTGAAAATAGGAGATGAAAAGTATGTCATTCAACCTACGCCAAGAGAAACAAACTCCACCCTTATTGTCTCTGGTGAAGGCAAAATAGTAGACCTTAAGAGTAACATCTTAATGAAGAGATATATTAAAAAAAAGCATCCGGTGGTTTTCAAATCAGAAAAACCAGTAATGTCTTTACCAAATAGTAGAAACCGTCATCCACTCTTTGGAACAACTTTTGAAGAGAAAATAGAGCTTGGTGAAGACATAGAAGAAAAGCTGAATAAGGCATTAGAAAACTTAATGAAACGAGATGCGAATTCAATTAAGAAGAAGAAAAAGAAGAAGAATGATGAAGATCACAGCGATGAAGTCATTTTCAGTTTGTTGAATTCTGAAAGCTCTTCTAACCAAAGAAAGCAATCTGTTGAAGGTGTAAATGACGATAGGTCAATATGCTCCTCCAGTAAAAAGAACAAGAAAGCTAAAAAAAGCCTAATTGAAGAAGCCAATATTAAAAGTGAATTATTCACAGAATGCGAAACTGATAGTGGAATCGTTTCTAGTACCAGTAAAAAAAATAAAAAAACTAAGAAAAGTCTCATTGAAGAATCTTTAAGGAGTATCAAAAATGAATTGTTTCCAGACGGTGAAACAGATGGTGAAAATATGTTGGGTTCTGCTAAAAAGAGCAAAAAATCAAAGAAAAGTATTGAAGGGAAATATTTGTCCAATATTAAAAGTGAGATATTTACGGAATATGAAACAGATAACGGTGTAACTCCTACGAAGAAAAAAAAGAATAAAAAATCTGCTTCTGAATTGAATTGTATGCCAGCCTCAGAACTTACTAAAGACGAGTATTTGAACAACAGCTTGAATTTTGAATTAGGCTCCACGAAAAGTCCAACTAAAAAACGGAAGATGAGCAATTCCGTTGCCAGGAATTCTGATTCTGAAGAAGGCGGTATCACTGAGGAGTTTTCAGCAATAACCACAAATGAAGAAAAAAAAAATAAAAAATTCAAACGTAACTCTACCTCTAACGAGATAATTCTGAATGGTTTTAATACTGATGAAGTGAGTCCTTCAAAAAAAATCAAGAAAAAGAAAAAGTATAAAGATTTAACAGGGTAGTATTATTTTGGGTATAGTGCACCTTCAAAGTATGCCTTAGTTGTTGATTGTTATCTGTATATAAATGTATAATAGTTCTAATTTTACAGATATGACTCAAAATTATTATGAAGCAGTAATTTTTATGAACGTTTATACTGAATCATCATTTTTGGCTAATTTTTTTAAATGAATACATTTTTTGTATACTTAGATTTTTTGTCGGAAGGAGCGCTTAATTTAGAATGATGAGATAAAAATGAAAACTTCATAAAAGTAATGAAAACTAAGTTATCAATGCAATTCAAATTATTAAAAATCCTGAAATTATTCAATAAACATCAATAAGTTTTCTCTCTAACGACTTGTTAGGCTGGTACCTTTGTACTTTTAGTTAATTGTTGGTTGGAAATATTTTTTAATGATTTATTTGTTCTGTTTTTATTTACTGACTATGATTTTTGTATTCATCATTTTTAATATTATATGGTTTTAGTAACAAGGTACACATCTATGGTATATTTTTTGGAGAAGTTGAAGTTTATATTAAATACTTCAAAGTATTCCAGGGAATTATTACTTCATTCCTTTCATCTTTTGATCTTGACTTTCACTTATAAATTTTGCGAAGTATTGTTGAAGTGCCTGTAAACAAATAGTTTTTCAGTGTTAACTTTTAAAGGGGACAGATACTGAGATCAGGTAAAACGGAACTAGTTTTTTGAAATGATTTTCAAATTCATTAATTGAAAAAATGTGTAGTACTGTTTTTAAGGAGAATAAAAGTATAAATTAAAGCGATTTCAGACAAAGAAAATGGAAGGAGCTTCTACCCTACAACATGAAACAAGCAGAATTACTTTGATCCTTTTCAAAGAAGTCTTTATTTTGTAAAACATCTATCAAGTTGCATAGTTCAAATGCCTAAATTTCTCAAGTAAAACTCATTTCAAAAATTATACTTGTTTCATATTTTTATTACATAATTTCTATTCGCAGTTAGTATGTGACATTACAGAAGTTTCTTGAAATGTGGTTATTTTTTTCTCTGTATTTCATCTACAAAAAGTGGCATTTTTTCAATGGAAGAATTTTACAATCATTCAGTGGCTTTTGCCATATCATTATGTTTGTGAGTATTCCAAAGATATTGACTTGTGGATAAAACTATTCTTACATATATAATACTGGACTACTACTATATTATATACTGGATAATATTTGGAATTTCATGAAAAAATATTCAACATTTATATTATCATTTAGGAATCACACGTTAAAAGGTAAGACCTCGTTAAACCTTCTGAGGATTGTCGTTCGTAGGGGTGCTATAGCTGGGTTAACGGATAAAAGATGTTTTAAACATATTTTTTTTTCAACATAATTTCAATTCAATATCTTGTATTTTCGAAAAGAAAATACAAGATATTGTAGAAAGTTTTGTTTGAGATATTAATGAATTCGAAATTCGCAGGAGACTGTACTTTAAAGTTTGCCCCTCAATCATTTTGAAACGAGCGAGTTATTTTTTACTTACATAAATATGGTTTTGTTTTCAAAATCAAATTTTCAGATCTTGTAATGCTGTATGACTTGAGTAAAGTACTCGATTGTTTTTTCCGTAATTTAATACTTCATAAAATGAAAATGAGTTTAGATATGTATGTATCCCACTTTCCACATACTATTGACATAATCGAAGCAATATGTCGATTTAGGTGACAAAAAACATCTAGGTAATTTAGTGCCTATTTAGAATGGTTTTACACGAGGATCTGTATTGAGGCCTCTCGTCATAATTTTAATAATTGTTCAACTTCCTCAAAAATTTGTCGTTTAAGGAAATGAAATATATATTCGTTGTTGATACGGGATTACCAAAACCTTTAGATGTTCATCTAATAAAATCATTGAAAAAAACAATATAGGACTATTACAAAAGCAATGAGATTCCTACAACTGAAATCATAAGGAATAAATTGAATACTTCCGGCCATAACGTGAGCTGCTGTGGAAAAACTCTTCAGAATTGGATAAATAAACTAGAATTTAGATTTAAAATAATAAACAAACGTCAAGCAGTTATGGAAAGCAAAAGAATAGTGGAATTGCGTAACAAATACTTAGAACAAATAACTGAATATGTATAGACAAGAACAACGGCAATTTTTCTATTTGGACGAAACTTGATATGATACTTACGATATAGTGTACGCCTAACATGCCTGCAAACAAAGTATCGCGACTAATCATTGTACATTGCGGAGGAAATAAAGGATGGGTTCCGAATTCTTCGAAATTATGTGGAAAAAAACTTGAACTGCAATGTTGACTATCATAAGAACATAGAAGCTAATATTTTCGAGGAATGGTTTGAAAATACATTGATCCCAAATGTAGATGCGAATATATAGTGTAATAGTTCTTGACAACGCTTCCTCATTCGCGACATCTCATCAAAGTACTGAATAAAAATTCGAGGAAAGATGAAATACAAAGTTTTTTAATGGATATCAATTTGTATTTTGAGGATTTTGAATGATCCTCAATCTCAAGTCTTCCACATTTTCTCACTATGCCAGCGTAAATCCTATTTTTCAATGTCCTCATAGCAAATAATGGACCAATAAGATGATTTGCAAGATCACCAGATCCTAATATTTTCGATTATTTTCTATGGGTGACATTGAAAAATAGGATTTACGCTGGCAGAGATTTATGAAATATGGAAGACTTAAGAAACAGGATTTTGAATGCTTTCGCAACAATGCAGCAAAGAAGTGTATTGAGGGAAATAAATAATATGAAAACGAGTTCAAAAATGTCTCGAAATGGAAGGACTCCAATTCGAACATTTATTGCGCCATTAATTTTTTTTTGTATATAAATTACCTCATTTCAATTTTCATTACAATTATATAATCTATTTATTGTAGATATGTTTCAGATAATCATAAAAAGTATTCTTATTCGAAGTTCATTGTAGAAATCGGTCAGAGCAATGAAAATGTGAAAAAATATGAATAGGTAGATACCTGAAAATGGAAAAAAAACTCTATAGTATATAAGGGAGACGTGAAAGTTGCTATTGTGAGATCAATAAGTAAAATTAACTTTGGAACTTGTAACTGTGCTTATTGAAAACAAACTCTTCAGAGTTAGGCTACATGTTCCTAGTTATAAAATGATTGATTATCTCTGATATTTGGATGCAGTTGACAAACTTTCTGATTTAGCCTTGTTGTCCAAATTGAATAGTCTATTATATATGATGATTGGAATAGTGGATTTAATGGCGTGTAAATTCTCTTGATCACTGAGGCGCCCCCTTGGACTTGGACCGGCCGCTCCGTTCGCCCTATGGCTGGGCCGGCCCTGTGGACGATTTATGTTTTCGGATCGCATGGGCAATAATTCCTAGGAACATCATCACTTCCTTGAACTAATGAAGTGAAAGCTAGAAGTGAAACTTCTGACTTAGAACACTGACACTAGGTACAAAAGCACCACGCCCGATGGAAAATTCAAATGAATCCACGCATAAAACCGTAGTAATTTGGGTGCCATTTTGCTTTAAGTAGAGGCGGCTACGGTTATGTAAAAAAAAACTCTTTGAATTTGAGATTCAGCCGGGTGCGTGTTGAATAAATATGAATTGTAAGATAAGTATTATTAAGAGATATTTTAACTGAGCGGTATGACACGCGCCACATCAAATAAATAAAGACGGCCCTGCTGTAGACAGTTAAATAGTCTTCCTGTGTTTGTAGTATGTTTATTCTAATATGAATCAAAGTTTGCAAGATATGCCTTCTTAGCTAAGTCATTGGTTAATAAGAGGGATATAATGGATGTGAACTCAGCTCTAGGTAAAACATGATTTTTATTTCAGAAAGTAGGGTAGTAGGGAGAAAGAAATCGTATCGTATTCAATCTAGCAGGTAATTATAATTGTCTGGGCTATTGCTTTCAATTTCATGAGATGAATGGAAATTATTGTACTAAGAAGATATTCCTATTTCATCCTATAATATAATATTGTGGAACATATATTTTTGAACCACGAAAAATTTGAACATCGGGCATGTGCAGTAAGTGGCAATTGCTGACAAGATGGCTGGGTTGTGAATGCACGAGTCGGTGAGTAAAATCAATTATCTATTCAAACAAATAGATTACAGTTATCGTAGTAGTCCAATTTTCATTTTTATTCAAGTACTTTGGCTTCAGTTGACAAATTACCGCGTGTCATTACATATATTGTGCGATTATATTATTGTTTATGTTTTCAAAAACCCCTCCGCTTGAAAGTAAAAGTGTATTGACGGCGTTGGCGCTAAAGATCAGTGTCGTGTGCTACCTCATTTTTATTGTGTCAATGGCGTATCGGAAAATCTTGAAGTATCCGTTTTCATATATACTAGCATACTGAGGGCGTGAGCTACCATATCGCGTTCAAAGGGGAATGTTTGAACTTTCATTCAATGTTTAATGAATAAAGTACCTATATATAAAAAAGAGAAACTTCTAAAGAACTAACAATTACTAGATAAAACTTAGACGCTAATTTGGAAAGTGAACAATAAATGTTACGAACAGAAATGAGATTTGATTAATGCTCGAAAGACAAAATTAAACTAGGCTGGACATGAATCAAATTAAAAACAAAATATTACTTATAATAACAAGAATATCGAAGATCATTCAAAAGTGACAAAAAAGTTCAGTTATTCACTACGTTTCGATTTTCTATGTTAAAAATACCAGAAACATAAAGTCAAAGGCTGATTTGATAAGTAAAATTTGAAAAATCTGTCGTGAAATGTAACTCTTGAAAAAAAAACGATATAACACAATTAAGGACAATAAACAACAACAAAACACACAACAAAAAAATTCATTCACCGGCGCGGCGACACAATACGTGGATTCTAATATAAATTAATGTCAATTAACAAAACAAATTGTTTCGATTGTGCCAATTGCCATCTATTCAGCAATTGCACAATTAATGGATAGTACTCTAAGAAAGTAAACAAAAAGGCGGGAAATTGTCAAGAAACGTATTTAAACATAGTTGCTGTTATCTGTGCTTTACGCAATTGCTTGACAATATATTAATAAACGGAATAATTCAACTGAGTGGTACCACCTATTCTAAAACTTGATAGATTCTGACAATACTTTTAACTAATTACAGTTTTCCGTTGAAAAGGAAAATAGTTTCGTACTCTGAGTATAGGTGGCAGAAGTAATATCAAATTGAAGTATAATCTCTCCAAGTTAACTTACTCATGTTACATATTCTGAATTTACGTTCATATTATATATAGTTACTATACAACATTCATGCTAAATTAATGTTTGGTGCCCAAATGCTATGAAGAACGTGTGATATACTAGTTAGTCGATGATTGAGTGTTGACAAGGCATTCTCACAAAACCACAGCTGTGCTGTGAGTAGCTTCATCAAGTTTCTTATTAAAATATGCTTGCCTTGTGCCAGGCTTGCTTGTACGTATAAATAAAAATCTAGTGGTATCATGTCTGGTGAACGAGGAAGC